TTTTATTTTTATTGAAGAAATAAATAAATGAATAAATATCAGACAACATCACGTACATTGCTCTGATCCCAAAGCAAGTAACTAAAGCGCTTGTGTTATGGAAATCGGAAACAACGACAGTACAATCTAGAAAAGTTAGTTTGTCGAAAAGAGGGTACCTCAGTACTGGTCCCATTTCAATTTGAAGTCAAAGTCAAAGATTATTTATTCCATAGGTAAAATAATTTACACTTGAAATGTCACATTTAAGCTGCTGGTCGTAGTGACGCTGACCTCCCTGAAAAGAACGAGCAAGAAACTCTAGGGATTGCTCTTTTCAAATAAACTTAAATGCTATGGAGTACACTTTGAATCAAATTTGTGTGGATTCTGGAGCCGTGTCGTCTTTCCATACATCTTTATCTAACACGTAGTCTTCAATTTTGTAATATGATTTTTCGATCAAAATATTTTTAATGTAGTTTTTAAACTTAGGAAATGATAAACTTAATATATGCTCCGGAATCTTATTGTAAAAACGTATACAGTTCCCCATAAAAGAGTTGTTTACCTTGGTTAAACGAAATCGTGGTACCGTGGTACGTGGTGGAAGAAAATATTAGACCTCTAAAGGTGGCAACTAGGGGATGAATCCGTTGTCGCACACTTTCCGGTAACCGATTTTAATAACACTTGGCAAATAGATTCAATTCCACGAACTTTTGAGATCGCTTTTTTTTTGTTAATACTCTGTACTGAGATTATTACCACTACGATAATCATCTATTTTTTGTAAAAATATTCCACTAGTTTGTTATTATTATTGATACAAAGATGGAATAAACGCAAAGAAAATTCCCGATCCGACTGGATACCAACCAGCGTCTGTTGCCTCAACGTGGCTATCGCTCTGCCAACTGGGCTACGGATCGAGCCAGCAAATCTTACAAATTTTGGTGTGATTGTTGCGGATCTTTGTTCAGATTTTTTTGCCGTAGCGCCACCTGTGAGACCTTATGAAAGATGTTTTTCATTCAACATGATTGTCATGTAAATTGCATCTGTTCATATAAATTACATTCACTTTAAAGCCCATTAAATAAATTTCGAACCCAAAAAACAACTACAAACAATTTTCCAAATTCACACAAAAAAAATCGACAATCAATTAAACGGTCCACAGTCTGAACGAAGACAATAAAAAAACAAAACCGACTAAAGTGTCTTATAACAATCTTCTACCGACTGGCACGCAGTCACCACAAACAAAAACACCAAAACTGGAATCTAACTTATGTGCTAACCTAGAGTAAGCTCTTTTCCATAGCTCAAACATAAAAATAAAACTACATAAATAATGGACACCTTCACAAAAACTTCAATAAGTCACTATGTAAGCAGATGGAAACTGAGCAATTGCTCACCAAAGAAATTAATTATTCTATACTACCTCAGCTCACTACGCAACAAACAGAGATCTAGCCCGTTATATAGACGTGCATTAAACACCATCAACGCTAATTACTTACTATCCAAATAACTAACTATCTTACTACCTACTTTCTGTCACGCGCTGCATAGCCAGCAGAAATCTGGCCACCGGCTGCGGTTGGTTGGTCTTCCCTTCCGCAATCCCGGGAGTGTCACTACCTTGAACTGTGCCTCTTGGTATATCCGGCTTGTCCGGGTCAGATTTACTCTGGCAAGGTGTGGTACCAATGAGCAATGAGCAATAAATGTTTTTTTATCCTTTTGTAATCTGCCATCGGCTTGTAAAGTCATAATCAGATGGGTACCGAGCAATTAAATTTGAACAACTTCTGCTGCCCCAATTTTTTCTTTCGATACAATTAAGTCATCCTTATAAGAAACTGAGTCTATTAGCATAAAAAAGAAAATCAATTGTATGAAAAATATTTTATGAAATTTGACCAACTTCTGCTGTCCCTTCCGATTTTGTCGTCCCATACAATGAAATGATTGATCCCTTCATGAAACTGAGTCGATCGGTACTAAAAAAAATTTTGATCAATTTTATTCATTTTTAAGGACAACTCATGCTTGACTAAAATATTGACTAAATAAAATTGTTTTCACAAAAAGGACTTCATGGTTCCTAAAACAGTTTGTATCTTCTATATTTTCGGATTTCCCCTTGCTGTCCCGTTTTCAAATTTCGCACATTAGAAGTAAATATGCCGATGGTATCTAACCAGTCGAAAAAATTGCTAACGTAAATGTCCAAAGTTTGTAGCAGTAGCGCGGCGCGCAGCGGTCTCGTATAATACTCACCTCCGGACATTGTTAATACTCAATCAGCCATCTTTATGGAAAATATTTTGGTATTTTTAAATGTAACCCGTTGTTTTATAAAACACCTATGCAATTTAAACAAATACGATGTTTGTAAGTAAATATAAGTTTTAATATGGTTTTAATGACGAATGACTTACGTCACAAAGCACTTAAATATTAAATAAATATACAACCTCTTTAGTTCTATGCTTAAGATTTGAAACAACAGTAAATAAAAAAAAATTAAAAACTAAAAAGCACTAGTGCGAAAAATCCAACTTTCGGCACGATTTGTCGTACGACAAATACCACATTTTGAGCAACTGTTAAAATAGTAGTTTATTTTAAAATAATGCTATGATAAGAGGCAAAAAAAATGTAATAAAAGTTGCCTTGCCGTGTATCGCCCAAATAATAAATTACTCAACTAATACACTGTGGTAACATTAAAATAAGCCTTTCTACTCGTCACGAAATTTAAATTCCAAATCTTGCTTTTACGGCTTTAATTTTTACGATTAGTATATACCTTATGGATTCAATAATTAAGTGTGTTGGGTGGTCGTTTTAGTGAATTTAGTTCTAAGATTATATAAATGTGTTCTCCATTATCAGTTGGCAAACACTGAAGTCCTCTATTTTAGTGCGTATCACCTTTCCAGTCGCAACTCATGTCGTAATATCCTCCATTACATTTTTTCGGCTGCGGTGCAATTACCACTCAAAATAAACTTTCTTCCAAGTCGTAGGGGCATAAGGCGTAAATAAGCCACTTTACCGCCTAAGGGCGCGTTCCCATTATGTGGTGACGACAGATAGTCTTGCATTTTAAAGTGTCGTGGCTTGTGCATTTAAATGAAGTTATTCACATATAGTAACATCGTGTTTTTTTGACGTTACGACGACAGACTGTCGTGACAATGGGAAGGGCTGGAATGACAGTCGTCAGACAGTAAATAAAACTTCACAATACAGCTGTGACCACAGATAATCGCAGCTTCAACCGATTCTGTCGTGCAAACGACAAGGCGGCTGCCGAGAACCGATAAATTGTCGCCACGATCTAGTGGGAACAGCTAGACTCGACAATCGTTCAACGATAAAATAAACGTCCAGTCACAGCCACGACAGATAGTCGTGATATGGGAACAGGCTAGACGCGACAATCGTCCAATGACAAATAAAACGTTCCGACATGATGGGAACGCGCCTTGACACGAAAGCAAATATCTCACCTTTAGTGTAATTAGGTCACAGCTTTTTTTTTCTTCTATGATATTAGGCGACAAGACGAACATCGTCAACGTATCCATGATAGTTGCAGCTACTCAAAACTTTAAATCGTAAAGATCTGAGGGGCATTGCCACTGCGTCCGTCACCCTGAGACATAAGTTGACAAGCCCCACGTGTCTATAGTTTCACCAACATACCTACCCTTCCAATGCTTTAGTGCTGACATTATTGCTTGGCGGCAGAAATAGGTAAGCTGGCAGTAGTACCCTGGACGAACTCTTTCACAACGACCTCTACCGCTACTACATCTGCAAAATGACAACTTTTCAGGAGAGATATTTTAAGATTCTACGAACGGAACTAGTCGATAACTACTTTATGCTTAAATAGGAGAGTTATATTCTTGTCAATCGTCGTAAGGTCCTCGCCGATTGTTGCCCAGGGTGCGCCAGACGTGCAGAAGAGTAATGGTTTTGAAAAGATTGTAAACCACTATGCCCCGTGATCAGGATCACGGCAATAAAATAGGATACTTCGGTCCACCCAAAATTTATTGAAGTTGAAGTAAAAGGCTGTAAAGAAAAAGGTATATAAAAAACAGGTACAACAGTATAAAACACTCCCTCTCACTATATTATAATAACAAACTGCCCAGACACTTACCTTACCTTAAAAGGGCCGAGTTATACAGAATTACTAGGTTTATGTGGTATTAAAATTGGTATATGATTTTGAGTAAACTGGTAAAGGGAATCAAAATTCGCGATTAAAAGTTAGGGTACACATAGTACCGTTGTTTTTAATTTTACTGTCATCAAATAGTACCGTTCGCTACAGAGATTGAGCAAGGGAGTGACGGATGGAACGAAACAAAATCAGAATGGCGTGTAGCCAGGAACCGGAGAGAATGCGATAAAAAGGTGGGATGACGATGTATGGAGGTCACTTTGTCACAGTACGTCGTACGGGGAGGGTCCTTTCGTGCACTCCTTTTATAGCAGCAGTAGAGCTCCTTCTGAAAGAGTTAATCCAGGTTAGTACTGCCACCTTACCTATTTCTGCCGCCAAGCAGTAATGTCAGCAGCATTACTATGTTCCGATTTTGAAGGGTAAGGGTGGTCAACTTATGTCTCAGGCTGACAGGCGCAGTGGTAATGCCCCTCAGATCTTTGCAATTTAAAGCTCTGAGTGGCGCTGTGACTGTTATGGACAGGCGTGTAGCTTACCATCAGGTGCATAACTTATTCGTCCCGTCACTTGATGTTATGAAAAATAAATGCTAAGAGCACGAATTATGAAGTTCAAAGCGAAATCCTTACATTACCGTAAACATTTCTGTACTTTAGAACTGAAATAGAGAATGACATTCACAAATAGGTTTGTCGTTTTACTCCAAAATGTATACTGACTTTTAATTTGGAAGGTTAAGACTCAATTTATGTATCTCACAGCGCCGACGCAAAATTAATCAAAGGAAATAATCTGTTTTCAGGTGACTATCTTCGAGACAAGTATGAAGGAGCGACGGAAGTGAAGGTGTCTCGTCGAGGCAAGTTGCGCCTCAGCGATCCCCATTACAGCTTGCCCACAGCTCAGGATCTCGTCTATTTGGAAGAATCACCCAACTTCTGCGTTAAAAATGAGTTTTTGGTAAGTGTTTGTGACGTAAAAGAGGATCAGGCACAGACCATTCTTCCGTGGGACCAGGTCAAGAGTACCGTTTACCGACTAGCATGTATAAAAAGCATTTGCGGTCATTGGCTGCGCCGCCTTCGTTAACCGAATTCGCTTGCCGAAGTGACTCGGTGTAAATAGCGAGTCGATTGTGCCTACTTCGACAAGCCGAAGTAGACTGCCAAAGACGGCATGAAGGTCGACACTGTGTAAACACGCCAGAGTACAGTTTCGACGACTGCAAACACACTGCACTAGATTGGATGGAGACAATCTGAATACAATGCTTCTATTTCTATGTTCTCAATGTTCTTCGGCAAACTGCGTGTTTCGGGTATCGTCGCATTTTATTCAGTTGCACTTTGCCTTTGGTACAGACTGGACCCTCTCTGTGGACTTAGAAGTATATACAGTTGCTATTACATTTTTATTTATTATATTATGGGAGGAAAGCCGCTAAAGTCACAGGCACGACAGATAATTTACAGCGTGTTCTTGTATTTTGTACAAGAACACTATTTCTATTCTATTCTAGGATACCTGTTCGAGTTGCGCGGAAAGTGATTATTCCATCGATGGCGAACATAAACGTAGCTATGTCAGATGAAGAAATGCGATCAGATACGGACTGAATTGAAATGATTAATATCCGGAAAAGTATTCATTTTTAGTTATATAAAAAAAGCATACTTTTTTACTTTATAATTTTGTTAACTTGCTTATTGGCATGGAGCACTTAATAAACGTGGAAATCGTTTTACAGCTCTACTTAGTACACAAGGAAATAAAAACGAAATAACAACAAAGTACTTTGTTCAAAATATAAATTATGTATAGATTTTAAATCTAATAATTATTGGACATGGAAATTAATATTCGTTTGCATTCGGAAATCCGATGATTGACGAGGGGCATTGAGAAAAACGAAGCACTGTACATCCCTAATTCAATATCTTGCAGGGTTCTCTTGGTACAACTGGCCGCGAATGCAACAGGACGTCAGCGGGCATGGACGGATGTTCGTTGATGTGTTGCGGTCGGGGGTACAACACGAAACGGATTACGGTTAAAGAGCGGTGCAACTGCAAGTTCCACTGGTGCTGCCGCGTCGAGTGCGACACTTGCATGCAGACTGTGGAGATTTACACCTGTAAATAAGTGTATGGTATTACATCATGTGGACACCGACCTCTCACAAAGCGCTGTATATGCTTCTCTTATTCTGTCGTGGAAACACACTCGTACCATCTCGCCGGTCGATTCTAGCTACCTAAATAATAAATAAATATTAGATAATAATAATAATAATAACGCTCACAATCAACATAGCCCCGCACTAGGGAAACCCTGTGTCGCGGGTGCCATGGACACACACATCGACAACCACAAATTACACCCAAACTCACGAGAGAAAAAAATGTAGGCCATACAAATATTTCTCCCGGCCCGGGAATCGAACCTGGGACCTTTGCGTGGCAGTCCGGCATGGTAACCGCTCGGCCACGGAGGCAGATAACATCACATACGTTGCTCTGATCCCAAAATAAGTAGCTAAAGCACTTGTGTTATGGAAATCGGAAACAACGACGGTACCACAAATACTCAGACCGGAGATAATATTGAAAAGTTAGTTATCTACATTGACCCAGCCGGGGATTGAACCCGGGACTTCAAAAATGGCGACACCATGAAAATCGGTATGCAAGTCACTCGACCACAGACGTCGTCGAAACCTAACCTACCTACTTACTTATACACCAGAGCAACGGTTGTTCATACGGCTTCAGATGGAATTTACTCTTATATACTAAATGGGAAGAGCAGTAATCAAATTTAGACGTAGATAATAACTGCAAATAATAAACTTACAACGTTGGTGTAATAAGGCCAGATTCTACGATCGAAATAAGTTGAAGTGATTTTTTTTTTATAATTAAATGGGAGAGTTATTTGTTTCATGTACTTCGTATTACGTTTATTAATAATAATTTACTATATTTCTGACAAATATCCTTGAAAACTGTATTAGTAAAACGCACAAACAGTTTTCGAACTATCTAAGAACAGTTCTAGCACGCTTGACATGTACAGCTACCCAATGACACAGTATTGGCCCGTCTTCCCTCTTGACCACCGTCCGAAGGAGGCCGTTGGACTCCTGACTTGAGCATTGTGTAGAGTTCTGGAATACGACCCTAAGAGCGTCATCATACTGGACTCGAATGGCGTAACACGCTTTCGGTGTATACTTAACCCACAAGCTGCACGTGTAAAACGCATGTGATAAAAACATTTTTGTCGTATGATCATCACATGTGGCCTTATTATACCAAGGATACGAACTTTCATTTACAAACTTGAATCCTTATAAGTAGTGTTAGCACTCGCAAGTACATGTAAAACTGCGCTTGAACAGCAGATTTAAACACTATTTGAATGTTTTTCATTTAATTTAAAGAATTTTGACCTTCATTTGTAGGTACCTAGATATTAAGCCCACTCAAGTTGTAAGGTATGTGTGATTATATTATACATACCTACTTATACTCTAGCCAAATTCGATATGGAATGTTTAATTTGCTTTGAAATCACTTATTAGACATTTGAAACTTCTATTTTAATTTATAAACCGTCATCATTCACGATTATTATTATCAAAGTCTAATCGAATTTTGGGGAAAAATATTGAAGTTGTTTTTGGCAACTCCAATAGGTAATAATTATTATTTTATGTTACTTATTACATTATGTTATGTTTACTTTGGTGCCATTTTATTGTTGAATCTATTCAAAACCAGCCTGAAACCAGGACTCCACTCCATAAAGACTGTTATCGAACAATGTGGTAAAGTGGTAACTGCAAAACAGTCTGAGGTAAAAACCCCCTGTTTTTGTTCGTTGGTATTTAATTCTACATCAAGTTTGACTAAAATAACAATAATAACGCGCACACTCAACATACTACTAGATTATTTAGACTAGATTATTCATCTATGCCTAGTATTTACTATGTTATTATAACATAACTAAATGATCCGAAAAACGTAGAAAGAATGTAACCTAACCAGTATTCATTTTTGTAAATATAGATTAGAGGCTATTTCATGAGCATTTTTCAGCGCTGATTATCTTTCAAAACTCACCAATCAGGAGTCAACTGCTACGTGATTGGTTAGAATTTTGACAGTTCTTTACCACGACTAATGAAAAATAAAAAAAAAGAACTGAATAACGCTCATTAGTTTATGTGTGTAGTTACTTATTTATTGTGTTCTAAAATTATATGTAAGTAAATGGCTACCTCTAATTTCGTTATTTGTAGAGCAGTATGTATTTTAAACATATAGTATTGGATAATACGTACTAAATACTTTATATATTGGAACGATATTTGTAAAATGGTTTTTGTCTTGCTAAAAACTGATTTCAGGTCTTTTATTAATACGTAACTTTTTGCTCTTGTAAATCGGTTATCATACACACACCAGCACAAATAGCGGAAAATAATGCGTGCGTTTTGGAAAGTGTGGATCGGTTATATTACTTTTTTAGATTAAAATAAACAATTTGTAACCAACTAACTGTTATTTTTTCATTCGCTTGTTTTAATTTCTTACTAATAAAAGCTTGTCCAGTGGTTCGAGGTTGGTTCCTGTAAATGTCGTAAACTATAATTGAAAAAGTTATTTTATTTATGATTTGATTGATTTAATCTTAAGTGAAAAATATCACTGTTATAATTTTAAAATTAATTTAAACTTGTTTCTGCGTTGTCACAAAATCTAAAAAAATGCCTTTTAGTTAATGCTGATTTATATTTTTTTTTTCAATAAAAGTTGAGTGTAACTGTATTAAAACGATGTTACAAGATGGTAACTTAAGTAAAAAAATAAAGATCATGGCCCACAAAAAGTATAAAAACCGTGTTTACAGACAATCCACGGCGTACAGAAATGACACATGGTAAGATTTATAGAAAAATATGTGTACTTTACGACACTTGACGACTTTACTGTGGGTACTGGAAATTACGGAATAAAAAAAATTATATAAAAAAAAATATTAGTACAAAATATTTGTGTCATTTGAATTTATTGTTGATCACAATGATCACCCAGAGAACGATTTCGGTCTTATTCCTACTACAACTGACCGCGCAGAGTTCGTGCACGAGTGTGACGATATTTGTTTAATAGAAGGTCTGACAATTACCTAATTAGGGTTTTCATACAAAATAGATTTTCAATATTTGATCTTTACTAAAATTAAAAATGATTTATAGCTGCATAAATTAAACCTAATGTGGTTTTTGTACGCAAATATCCATTAACCGGATCATGATCTTTAATGGCTACTTTATGTCTAACTCTTCTTTATTTAAGTCATTGACCTACCAACAAAGTTTGGTGATAAGTCAATGATTTTAATATAAGCTTCATTATTTTAAATTTTTTTTTTGTTCCCAGTTTTTTTGATCAGCTAATTGTGCCGGCGTGTGTATTTTAAACGAGATAAGATTAAATTTTCATAGAAATAATTAGGGCGTGCATGTAAAGGTACCAACTATTCGCCAAGTTACAAAATTATTTTGTCAATCTTCGCAAGATACGTGTATCTTAAAGTTTATTAATTATATACTTAAATAAGTAACAATTTAACTGTTATTAAACCATAATACTCAGTAGAAAATACTTAAATAACTTTAAAACCACAATAAAAAATTTTAAATTATATAATATGTTTAATTAGTTACATATTTTCTTTTGCGTTTTCAACTATATTCCTTTGAAAAGATTGATTATGTGAAAGATGATGCCGTATATAACGCCGTGTATGAAAAGAGGGAGCAACTGATGACAGGTGATATAGATATTATAGTACCGGTACGCTATGATGGCCGTTTTGACGTTTGTCCGCTCATAAACTTTCGTATTAATTAATAAATAAGTTGAAGGAGCTATTTGTTCTACATTGTTGTCAATAGTGACGTGCAGTAAAATTTATGGAATGTATAATGTTACGACACAACTCGACATGTGTTGTCCAATATTCGAAATTTTTTAAAGTGAAATCTGATACGATCGTCAGTCATGGATTTATGGGATCGCTGGCCAGCACAACTTCTACCTCCGGCAAATTCGCGTCAAAGCTCAATGCAAGACAAAGCAGTTTCGAATTGACGATATATTAAGTAAACATTTTTATTTTCGTTTTATTAAAACTTTTTATCAGCTACCTCTTGCAATAGTAGTTATAAATCTAAAAACTTATGGATGTGACTCGCATTTGATTGTATTTTTTTTCGACAATGAATTGAGATTTGACCTCACTATTGTAATCTGTCAACACGACCATTTTTTTTTATTTATTAAGGCTTTGGCAAAGCCATCAGCCTAAACATGAAGTTTAATTATGTTTCTGTAAATATGGCCGCCACAAAGAGGATAGGCAATTTGAGGCGGCGTGCTTGGATTGACTCGGGATTCCTTAAAACGGGCCGATACGGGTATTTTAGTTCGAGATTCGTATAATTTCACGTTTTAATCTTCGATTAAGGCACAATAGCACTATCCTATTCCACTTTAGACTAGATTTCACAAAATAATTGAAAGTCAAAATAAAAACGACACTTTTCCCTCCAAAAGGTCCAGAGCGAATCCATCAAAACGACCATCATAGCATGTACCATAGAGGATGGAAAAAATGAAGCCGGTACTGTAAGTGCCATTTAGTATGTCATGGACGGTTCCATAGTCTAAGGTCATTAACCAGCATTCACCCCTTTCAGATATGGCCAGTTAAGTCTTCGAAAACGACAAAGCTTGATATGCGATCTTAAAATAAAACTTCCGTAGAGAACAATTTATTACATTGCTCACCGGGAACCACGACATTCACAATTCCAAAAGTTCCTGAAATATACCATACGTCTTAATCATAAACGAAACGTTTACTGTTTTTTGTATTTTATTTATTAACCTGAAGTGGGGACCAATGAGAAACCCAAACACATGTTGAGAGTTTGGATTTATTGCATTCGTTTAAACTTGAACATAAGAGCACTTATAACAAATGTTTAGTTTCACTTTGTCCATCTCGTGAAGACGACGGAATTAATTTTCAAAAAATTTCATCGCTTGTCTTTGTTTTAAAATTACAATTTTACAAAAGTAAAACGGTGTTGAATTTCTGAAATTACTAAATATACTCGCAACATTTGAGAACCTCACCTGACACAGGCGAAGGAAAATGCCAAGTCATAAGGTAAGTCTACTCCTATTCTACGAATCGGTGAAATAAGGAAATTATAATAATTTTGTGGCTA